TAAGCGTGAGCCTGGTTGAGAAGCTGTGTGCACGTATGCAGGTCAGCAAAGGCTCTGATGCCCAAGCAGTTGGTGGGATGAAGCTGAGATTGCAGGAATTCGCAACAAACCTGACGCACATCCATCAGCTGGAGGAGGCTGGCTGCAGGCAACAGTACCTAATATTTGTTTTTTTAAAAAGTCACAAAAAGTTGAGTTAGCAGTTTACCTCCACAGCCTTCATCAGAGACTTCATCAGCACAGTAGGTCTGTTATTCAGTGAGCTAATCAAACAAACTCAATCAACTCATCATTCAGGTTAGGAAGCAAACTGATACCCAGTAAGTTTATCAGTAGGATTAACTTTAAGGATCGGACAGAACTGAAGAAGCTTCTCGGATGAGAGGTGAATCGTCTTCAAGCAACTTAAGTCCAGACGCTTTTCTTTGCAAGCTCCTTAAAGTAGAGAAACTCACATTTGGTTTTGATCTCTACTTTGAATGAGGAGCTACTAAACCATTTCCTGCAAGACTTTCAACTTAGTGCAAGAGCCTCTAAAACGAAAGGTCACAAACATGTCAGCTATGCTTGCCACTTAGAGTTTATAAACACAAACATTATGGATTTAACAATTTTCTGCAATTCTTCATCCCTCTATTTTCTTTACCAGCAATGAAAAATAAATAAATCCAGCCCGGGACCATAATCGGCCAATAGCCATTGTCCTTGGTCCTGACCAGAGTCGACCTCATATATGATTACAAGCCGGTCCGATTCGTGCATGCACAACACAGACACACTGACGGCCACGCGCTAACATGAAAGCTTCTCACTGGGCGTGAATACACAATCACCTTCATCTTGCTGAACACTGACATTAACTGAGGCTGACAAAGGCTAAAAAAGCTAAAGCTATCCAGAGCTCAGAGCCAGGACTAAGACGGCAGCCTCGGTACGAGCAAAGGCTCGAAGCAGTTACAAGGAGAATTGCAGAGACAAGTGAAAAAGAGAAAGAGCTTGATGTTCTATTATCTGCTGAAGTTAGGAACACTGGACACATTATTCAAGTACCTGAAATTGATTTTGTTATATGAACCTGTTGAACCTGCTTCTGTTTGGTAGGTAAAAGTGCAGCAACTCATTTTCAGTTATGTGTGCCTCTTTCCACTAAAGAAGATCCTGTAACTTACTGCAATTAGGGAGAAATTGTAAAGCTTAACCTTCATTTTCACTATAAATCTGCCTCTTTTTTTGTGTGTTAAAAACAAAGCAAGTCCTTATCCTTTGCAGCAGAGCGCTTTCACCCCTCCTTGGCACGCCAAACTGAGTCCCTGTTTATCGCAGCTCAAATAAAGGTAACTAGAAAAGAGCTTTTTATCAACAAGATATAAATAAAGTCCTAAATAAAGAGTTATCTGAAAAATCTGGCTGCAGTCCGCCTTCTGCAGCTTTTGTTTGTATTGTGATTTTATTTCCCTCCCAACACGTTATTAGAACACTAGATATTATGCTAAACTCATCACTGTGACATAAAGATAGATGAAAGAAAAAGAAGATTAATAAGCAGACCAAATAAGAGTTTGCACACATTCAACTGGCAACTAACACTTACTGCTCGATCAGTACTGACCTTGGCCACTTGAAACTATTTTCTAGACCAGCCCTCGTTTTTTGGCTACGGCTATGTTTTTAAAACGGGTGCTGCTTTTTGTCCATTTCAACATTTGTGACAAGCATCTAGGGTACTGCTGAGAAACTGATGCTAACAAAGCTACTCATTAGTTTAAGTAGGTCAGTGTCTGCCTGCTTCAACACCTCGCTGTTTCTTCAGACACACAGACACACACACACACACAGTGAGTATTGTCACTGCGTCCTCCGTTTCCTGTACACAGCTGCCCCGAAGCCTTGCATCTTCTAAAACACAGCATCAGGCCCAGTGAAACTCTGTTTACAGCAGCTGTGACACACCAAAACACACACACGGCTGCGAGCAAAACAAAAACATTTTTAGTACAGAGAAACGCTGACTTTCAAGGAAAAAAAAAGTCTAAATCCAACTTTTTACAGATTTTTTTTTGTCAAAACACACAAACACAAAAATTGAGAGCCAATCAGCAAGGCACGCTGCTAACAGTTGGAGGATTTCCTGCCTCCTCCATGCACACTTCCTGCACTAATAATCAGAGGAAGTATCTTGCCTGCAGCTGGATCAAGCTGAGCTGTGAGAGAAGTAATGCAGCTACCACATGTTAATGCCACCGAGCGAACCAAAGCCTCAGTGCTGTGCTTTTACAGCAAAAACCCCACAGAAAGCTCTGTGTTTGTCCTCTGTAGTAAACATCTGCTCCTCAAACACGGCCAATCGGACCATCCTGATAAAAGGGAAAGACTTAAAATGACGACAATCCCTTTCAGGTATTATGCAGCTGTGTCTGAAACACTTTTATGATTATAAACAAAAACAATAATATCACTAAAAAGCTTTTGTGAGCAACACACTTTTATTAAAATTAATTTAGGTCTTAAAACAGGTAAATAGAGGCACTTTCCCCAAGAAGGACAGTTCAAAATATGTGTTTAGTTTATAGTTTAGCAACAGTGTTTAAAAAAATTAAAGCCTTTATCCACCTCAAACAGGATTAATATGCAGTTATTCTTTCTTGTACTTAAACTGGTGAACAAAAACAAAGGTCGGGATAAAGAAAAAGGGCAGCAAGTTACAAATTTCCTTCTTAAAACAAAGGAGGTTTTGTAAGAGCCAGACTTATGCTTGGAGCAGCAGCAGCACCACTTTGATATAATTATCTAACTTGTTAAACAAGTGTGGAAAAAGAAAGTGTGACAACATGATGCTTTAACATGCAGCTCCCTGTTTACTTCTCCACTGTTAACCATTAAACAGAGGAGACGACCAGCTTACAGGGCTAGGTGGATAGGCGTTATTAGCAAAGGTGATTATGTTATTGCTGCTAATATACAAGAGTCGTTTTAAAGCACAAGCAGTCTTCAAATGAACACACAAGCCACCATAAGAGAGGAGAAATGGGAAGGAAATATAGTATTCTCACCTGGACGTTGTCCTCTGTGACCTCGATCTCTGCTGTGTAAATATAGTCGACCAGTTTTCTCAGAGTCTGACCGTCCACCTCTCTGATCTCCACCTGCTGAGCTTTACTCTCACTCATATCACCTGCGCACACACAGACACACACAGCTAAGCATACACACAACTGTGTGCAGCATCATACACAATGCGCAAACAATAGTGTGCATGTACCCGTGAACATGGCACAGAAGTAAGGGCTACAGGACGCCAAGACCACCCTGTGAGCTGGCACTTCGACGCTCCCGGCTACCAGCTGGACGTCACACAGCATCTTTTTACTGGAGGAAGGACAAACAGACGGCGTTACGTACGAGAACCTTCAACTGACATCTGATTTTCCATCCATCCATTCGCTTCCGCTTCTCCTTTTCAGGGTCGCGGGGGATGCTGGAGCCTATCCCAGCTGTCATAGGGCGAGAGGCGGGGTACACCCTGGACAGGTCGCCAGTCTGTCGCAGGGCCAACACACAGGGACAAACAACCATTCGCACTCACATTCATTCGCACATTCACACCTAGTGGCAATTTGGATTGTCCAATTAACCTATCCCCACAAGCTGCATGTCTTTGAACGGTGGGAGGAAGCCGGAGTACCCGGAGGGAACCCACGCAAACACGGGGAGAACATGCAAACTCCACACAGGAAGACCCCGGCCTGATGGTGGAATTGAACTCAGGACCTTCTGGCTGTGCGGCAACAGTGCTAACCACCGCGCTGCTGATTTTATCATTTGCAATTTTCAGATTCGTCATTATTTTTGTGCAGAAACACTCAATTTCCTAATGTTACACACCTACAAACAAGACGTTTATTAGAAAGTAAATCTAAACAGACATGTGGCAGTAACACTATGAGATTAAGGAATTGAAACAAAGAGAATTTAACTCACTTTTCGATAAAGACTAAAAAAAATTACTGACATTAGAACATAAATATGGCACAGACATACGATAAACACAAAATAGAGCAACAGATAAGCATTAATGCTATTAGTTGCTTTGTCAATTGAGAGTTCTGGAGGGATTATTTGAGTTGCGTCAAAAATATAAGACAGAATTATTAAAATGTTTTTTGTACAAATGTGAAGTTAAATCTGCACTCAAGAGCCAGAGAAGAGGGGCACCTTTGAAGTCAAAAAACTCTGGTATTCATCACCAGTTGATGAAATATCACAGTAAAATACATGAATCTGGGCCAGTTGTGTTGAGCTTCACATTTGACGATTAACAAGCCCACAGTCGTTTTTGTCATGCATGTGCAGAATAAAACATCCCCACCCAACAGAAGAGGTTTGCCATTAGCTGTTTGACAGCGATTTGCAGTTGAAGTCTCTTCTTTAAAAATGCAACAGTCCAGGTCAGGCAGAAGTAATGTACTGCTGCACTTTTCAGACAAGCCGGGTGAACAAGCGAAGACTTGCATGTCCGTTCTGGCTTGCAAAACTCGATGCGGCCTCTTCGTTCTCAAGTTAAAACGAAACGGTAGAAACCACAATTTGAGCAACGCACCTCCTCAGGTCGTTCATCAACTGAAACGCTTTCCTCATGTGCGTCTGGTTGAAGGTGTGCATCCCTCCATTCACCGTGTCCTCTTCTGAATCGGTGGCACATGGTGGACGCGGTGAGGCCGGTGTGGCAACCAGACTGGTAAGACATAAGAGGCAGTGTCTGGATCAGCGGATAGCGATGATGACAAAAGGCAACCACAAACCATAACAAAGCCTCCACCATCTTTTACAGATGACTGTAGACACTCACTGTTGTACATCTCCCCTCACCTCCTCTGTACATACGGATGATCTGAACCAAAAATAATTTTATACGGCTTCTTCTCTCCATAAAATTTGTTGCTACAGTCCAGTTCTTATGTAATTTGGCATAGCTCAGCCTTGTCTCCTCATTTCCCTTAAGAACAGATTTTGAACAGCCACCTATCCAATGAGGCCATTTCTGATAAGGCTTCAGCAAACAGTAGACAGATCAACTGAAGGTTCATATGCATCTTTCAGATCCTGTGTCACGTCTTTGTGTAGATACAACACTGGCTCATCCTTGAGTTAGGTGCCTTTTTATCCTTGAATAGTTAACTGGTTAGTGTTAAGTAGAAAGTTTGGATTTCTCAAGACAAACAACAACAGAGTCTGGCTTCTTGGAAGCAAACTACAAAAAAATGAGTATTGTATACTCAAAGCTGATGCATTAGACTGATGGATGTCATCTTCGTGTTAATCCAAAGGTACCAAATAACCATTCAAGCATGTCTATTTAACTGAGGATACCTGCTCTATTCAAGATGATTGGAGGAAATGTGTTCTTTGACCCTATCCTTTATTAAGGATTAAAGCTGGATACATTTTATGGTCAGTGCATCCTTTAAAAAGGCTAAAAGCAGCCACAACATATAGGGTTTCATTTTCTTAACGAGCTAAGCAATTAGTGCCTATTTCCTGTGGAAGATTAACAAACATCTGCCACACATATGGCATGTGCATATTACTGGTAACTTCTTTTACACGGGGACTGCACAGAAAAAGAAGCCCTCACACATGCTTACAAAGAAATGGGGGGAGAAAGAGCATACAGACCCGAACCTTAGGATATTAATTTACAAGCAAATGTGACCTGCAGCGAGCTGAAAGCACATCTGATAGCGGTTTTTCTGTCCGACACTGTTTATTTAAACAGTGCTTGGCCGTCTCCACCGTGCATGTACTGTACGATGTGCTATCTTAACTCTCAAAACAAGCCGTCTTTTCACCCACAGATAATCAAGCATTTCGAAGAATTTATGATGCTGCACTGAAAAGTCACAGTAGCTGCCCGGTAATTCGTTTTTGTTTAACAGCTTACGGTAAGCTTGTCTTCATGCGTCCAAAAAAAACCCCCAAATCAACAGGAAGCTGTTCAATTCATTTTAAGTTTGTTGTGGGTTAAGTTAGCTAGCTCCTAGCATTGCTAACTAACATATAACCTTATGACAGCCATGAATATCAACTGAAATCGTATTCTAAGCTACTTTAAAAATAATTACAAACCAACCCACATTCAGTCAACTATCTACAGTCTGGTTTGGTAGGCTGCCATCAGCTGAGCAGCCAGTGATGCTAGCTGACTAACGGGCGCTAACTAGTCAACACAGCTAGCCGCGAGTTCGCGTGCTGTGAGCGAGCTCTCGAGCTGTCCGTGTTGGATTTCTGGTCACTACATCGCGTAGGTTCAAATGTCATCCAGCAGATGCAGAAGCAGCCTGAATCCCATCTTTAGAAAACATAATCCCCACCGATGAGCCAACTCACCCCAACGACACACCGTCCATCCTCCCGGAGTCAGAGAACACAGCGGGCATGAGCGCCGAGCGGCCGGCTGCACGCAGATCGTCTATTAGAAAGATGAGTAACTCCGCATACACAGATGGTTTTATATGGTGACTCACTCCTTTTATTTTTATGCACATTTTTTAAAAATAGTTATACAAACTGTATTAAAACACAGTAAGCCGACCTTTGAAAGATAATAAGTAATGACAAGAATTATCAACAAGACCACAATTTCATAAGAATTAGTATGAGTCGCTTTTGGTTCGTTTGTTGTCATCGTTCTTTCTTTGTATCACTAGTTTTTTGTTTTCATTTCCTGTGAAAACAGGATCAGGGATCAACATTTCCCTGAAATTACTAAATGCTCCTCCTATGATAAACTTGAATTTCTCTTATCTTAAAAACACAACTGATTTGATTTAAATTAGCTGGATGATTATAATTCAGATATTCCGATTAACTAAACAGAAAATGCGTTTAGATGCCTGTTGTGTCCATTTGCACTAGAAAGGCAGCACAGTCAATAAATGCTTTTGCATTTGCAGGACTGCATGAGTACAATTGATTTTCCATCATCTGGCTAATCAAATCACTGTTTCAACTCTAACAAGAAAATTGAAATCCATCACCTGGTATAAAGGAGGGGCGTTACCGGCTACTTAAGATAACAGGAAATGCAGCAACGTTGTAGACATAAAATAAAGCCATTTTCTGCGATGGAAGCACTGCCAAAGTAAAAGAAATTAGATGACTTAAAAATCACATCTTAAATAGGCCCGCTTTATGAATATTTAGGTTTTATTAAATAGCAAGATTGTACAATCCAAAATTGCTTACTGGAGGGTTGTTTACCAACTGGTGGCCTGCATTTAGTCTATTAGTGTACCATAAAATGCTTACTAAGGAGTCAAATACAAATAGTCACATCTGGTACCACTGAAAGTGTCCCATTTTAAAATCTATGGGAGCATTCAGTGATTGCAAATACCACTATGCAAAATTCCCACCCATTATTGTGAGCTTTCAAACGTAAGTCAGACACCCTTTGAATTCACTTTTGAGCAAAAGGGGTATGCAGAACTATCTCTATAAGTTAATTGTTCCTATTTTAACAGCACAAACATGCGTTTAGTTTACTTCAGCAATAACAAAAAATAACTTGAGGAACTTTCTTCTATCAGTTGAGGTTCAAATAAAATGCTTATAGGCTTTGTATTAGCACTTTTATGCACTATTCACGAGGGATTCAGCAAATTATAAAAGTGGCTCAAAAAATAACTCTTTGGACTACAATTAAAAAAATTACATATCAAGTTCTGCGCGTAGTGTAAATAATGGTCGTCTCTATAATAAATCTTTCTAGCTCCACCCACTGTTTGACTTAGTATTTTACATTCACAGCCAGTGGATCACATCTGTCCAGTGACCGGAGCTTTATTCTGGCTTCCTGTGAGTCAGAGATTTTACTGCTGTTGTAAAACACTGAACGGGTTGGTGTCAACAGCACTCCTCTCACAAACTCAAAAGGGAATAATTATGAGTTATACACCGGAACCTTCTCAGTTAGCCTCATTTACTATTGCTAATCTCACTCTCTATGAATTGAAGTTGACTTAAAATCCTATTTGTAACCTGTGAAAAACAAAAAAACCTGCAACCCTGTGCCTGAAGAACTGAACTCTGTGTGACCTTTGGGGAAGCTCTACCTAGATCCCTGTAGGGTGGACTTGAAGGGAGGTTGTCATACAGTTTACAGGGAGTAAACACTGGGAAGCATGCTGAACATGGGCACGCTGAAATACACTGGAAAAGCAAAGCTTGGCTGGGTATGTTTGGCATGTGAGAGATGCTTCACATTAATATTCATTTAGAGTCTACGCTTGTGCACAATACATGTGGTTAAATAAGAGAGAAGGTGTCAGCGGCACTTTGTCTTTCTCTGCTGCTCGTGCTTAAGTCTCGACACCCCAGGGGATCATTTTTGCTCCTTAGTTTTTTATTTTACATTTTTTATTAGGATCTGTTAATCTGGTTTAAATAAAGCATTATATTTAGCAAGATTATGCTCAAAATACTTTGCAAAACAAGCATTACAAATTAATGCTCAAACCTTTTGTGACGTGTAACTTTTCATTAAATATATTAAACAGGATACAAGGCAAGGCTGCACAGAAATGTTACAATCAGAGGTTTTCCAGGCCTGTTTTCTGCATTTATTTCTGATTTCCTCTTTCCTTCCTGGAAATGCACATTCTCATCTCCAGACCTCTTAGGTCAGGTTTGTGATGAGTATGTGCATTTCCATGTACTAAACTGATAATAGAAGACTAGCATTCAGTTTTAAGTTCGCTCGAGGTCTCTTCCAACTCTCATTCCATTTAATCTAAAGCCAAAATAATTCAGTCAAACAATGAATGTATGCTACTAAACGTGCTTTATAAAAATCAGGCATGAAAGGAGTGATAAAATGCAGTGTACAGCTGTAACAACATCAGGTTACAACACTCAATGTTAAAAAGAAAAATACTTTCATATAAAAACACCCAGTATTTGGATAATACTGAACCAGAAACAGGTTCAGAGTGAGAGCTCTCACTTTATTCTTCCTTTGCCTGTGCATCTACTTTCCTCCATAAAATCGTGTAGGTCATGTAGGTGTTGCTGATGACATCCAGCCCTTACACAAGTGGATTTGGTACACATTTTAGCCGGTTACGTTCATTTATATCTGCCAATACGTAACACCTCTCCCTTTGTTTAATGGACACTAAATACTGGTTGCTCCCAGGTGAAAATATTTATCAGCTGGCTGAATGTGTGAGGGTTTTAGGAGCCTGATATTGTGGAAAAACCTGTCATCGATGCGTTTCTGTAGATCAATATGGAGGAAAAATAAAAAGACAACTGGTAAGTCTTAAAAAACAAAGCAGTTAATCAAAATGAGGATGCTCGTTTATTTTTTATGTTGTGTAGGAATAACAAAATACTGCTTTGGTGATTCACCACCTCCAAAATGGCCGATGTAGCAGAAATCCATGATTTCCAGGCAATACTACCTCCTAGTGGTCGCTTCCTGAATCCAATTTAAAGAGGAGAGTTTAATGATTTTAAAAGGAAATAAAAATAATTGTTCCCAAAGTGGGGGGTTTAAAAGCACTTTCTGTTGATCTGAATTAAGACTGCGAGATTAGATAGATTTTTAAAACATTAAAAACTTTAATAAAAGCAGAATAAAACATAGGGGGTGAGCTGAACACATGAATTTCAAAGGATTTTAATCTAGGCAAAACAAAAAACAAAAATAGAAAACAAAAAGAAAAACTGGGACGGGAAAGTGGGGCAAGAGTACAGTGAAAATAGTCCCTGACATTTCTCAAAACAATAAACAAAAGAGAGCAAAGAAAAAAAGTTTTAGGGTCAAGAAGCTGAAGAAATCCAGTCCCATGCTGCCGGACACTGCCACAAACTTTACCTAAAACCCTGAGTTCATGGTGTGAAAACAGGCAAAACTGACGGATCTGCAAATCAAACAATCGATTTTTCTCATTTGAAGCAGTGACTGACAAATTATACTTAAAGAATTCAACATAACAAAATACAGTTCAATAATTCACAATTCTTAGTATTAAAGTCCATAACGTGTGGAATAAGAGGACAAGAAGGGAAGTCCTGGTGGGGGGTGGATGGGATCCAGAAAGCAGGCTGTGTGGGTGATGGGCGTTGCTTCTTTTTAATTGAACTCGAAGACCACCTCTCACCCCCTACCTGGACATGTGTAGCTCGTGTGTGTAAATCAAGTCCATTTCAATTAGAAATGAATCTCTCATCGTTTGAGGGCGCCATTAGTAGCCGCTGCTAAATCCACCACCCCTGTTATAAGGAGCCCCGCTCCGGTAAGAAGTATAGTTGCCCCCCTTCATCGCTCCATAACTGGAGTGCTGCTGTCCATAGCCGTCCCCAAAGTCCCCATTGCTGTACCCGCCACCCATCTGGCTGTCGTATTCGTCGTATCCCCCGTAGCCCCCGTAGCCATCCCCCCCGTTATAGCCCCCGCCGTAGCCGTAGCCACCCCCGTAACTACCGCCGTAGCCTCCTCCGTAGCTGCCGCCGCCGCCGCCTCTTCCGCCGCCGTAACTCTGCATCCCTCTCCCTCGACCCCTTCCTCCCCGGCCGCTGGTGGACATTTCCTGCTTGGTTAGAGCCTTTTTCACCTCCACCTTGTTCCCGTTGATGGTGTGGTATTTGGTCAGGACCGCTTTGGTGGCGGAGTCGGTATCCTCGAAGAAGACAAAGCCGAAGCCTCTCTTCCTGCCGGTCTGCTTGTCGGAGATGATTTCGGCCTTCTCCACCGCGCCAAATTGCGAGAAGTACTCGGTCAGGTTCTCCTCAACGATGTGGTCTTTCACGCCGCCGACGAAGATTTTCTTGACATTGGCGAGTATGTCCGGGTTGTTGGCATCCTCTCGCGCTATGGCCCTTTTCACCTCCACGTTGTTGCCTTCGACGACATGTGGCTTAGCGGCCATTGCTGCGTCGGCCTCCTCCGGCGTGGAGTAGGTGATGAAACCGAAACAGCGGGAACGTCCAAGCTGCTGGTTCATGACCACCACGCAGTCGCTAAGGGTACCATACTGCTCGAAGTACTTGCGGAGGCCTTCATCGGTGGTCTCCACGTTCAATCCCCCAACAAAAAGCTTACAAAGTTTGGATGTCATGGTTCCTCCGGAGGATGGTGCGCAGCTCAGACCGTCCCTCTTCTTCAATGAACCGACGTAAGGGCGGGCCGTTTCACTCACGTCTTCGTAAGACGTTCCTCTCGCTGATTGGTCACCTTAAACCAAATCACCCCCTCACAATCGCGCGCGATTGGCGTCACTGTCCTGTTCCCTTCAGGTCCCATCGGAAATCTTAATTTCCTGAAAAAGGACCGCGTGAATTTCGATCTTTGTTTTTCTTCGAATACAGTAATAAAGCTACACCCCCCATTAATTTCACTTAAAACACATAAAACGTCAATCCGTGTTTTATTTTGTGTCGCACTTTAGACCCACTGGGACAAAATATATTTTTTCCAAGTGTGTACGTGAACCACGTTCAACCCTAAAATAAACGAAACTCATAAGCCTGAATTATATGTTTTTTTTTTTTTTTAAGTGTATATTAGCTCTGCACGACTGGCTGTTGCAGTCTTTTTCCAGCAATTACAGCTGTGAAATGCAGTCATTTCGCTGTTTAACTATTATGATCAGAGAAAATCTGAAGTCGCCTACAGCCTTAATAAATTAGGTTAGCTGGAGGCAGGCGCTTCGCAATAAACGCAACTTCTCTCAGCGCCCCTCCCCCCTTGTTCCTGGAACACAATTTGAGCCCGACAGAAGCGAATAACTCCCATCAATCACATATTCTGACACACGAAAAGCATTTTTCTTGTGAAATTCAGCTTCTTAGTTTGATCCACCTAATTTCTGATTGAAAAAAAAGAAGACATTTTGATAGGGCACCTTGTGGAGATTGTTCTGCAAGCCATTTAAACTTCAATGTTAGTGGTCGTGCAGATCTGAAATGTAAATTATGTTAATTTAATTCTATGTGAATTTTCAGTTGTGGTAACTGAGATTGGATATAATTTATTCATTTAACACATACTTCTTTATCTTGTTTGGCAAACATGTTGCAAAACACCAACTGTAACCAAGTGAAAATATATTTAGTTAAAAGGTACCACCAAGGTTTTATTATTATTGCCACTATTGAACTATTATTTCAGCCAGTTATTTAGCCAAAACATGCAGCAATGTGCAGGCAAAACCAAAGTGGAAGGAGACCAAATAGGAGTGGTGGTGATGGGCAGACCTCCACAAGGCACCTTCAAAACTTGCACAGTATGTGCTATGCATATAGAAAAACCATGAAATCCACGCTGTATAATGGAACACATGGGATGGACAGTAAAGAAGGGCACTCTGCATGTTTTATACAACTCCCCTAAAACAAAAACACATACCAGCTTTACATCTCTGGGCTCCCACCTCTGCAAACCCTCCACCCAACAGATTGAAAACCAGCAATCAGACTGCCCTCAGTGTAAAAAAGCAACATAACAGACATCTTGATATACAAAAATATATTGATTTATTGTGAATTCATAAAAAGAAAGGCCAACATAAGTTTCCTTTTCCTACAGGGTGATCAGAATTCGTCAAGCACCATCATCCTATAAAAAAAAAAGGTAAGAGAACAAAAGCATAATTTACACTCATGACCACATCAAGCAGTTCCTTTTTAATCAGCACAAAACCTCAGATTGGCTTTCATTTTTTTATTTAAACCCTAACAAATACTTAAGATTACTGTGGGAGTTTTAGTCAACTCTTGTACTGATTTTCTAGTGCTCATTAAAGCCAAGACATCAAGTACTGTCTTGCATTTCATCATTGAAGCGCTCTGTTTACGTTTTTAAAAATGAACATCTTTCAATTAATCTGAGAAAACTGCTTCAAGAACCACAAAGACCAAGAGATTCACTTTTAGACAGTAGTCAGCAGACTTTAAGACTTAAAGCAGTGCTGGAAAAACCAAATAGCTGAACAGTCCACGTTGTGTAGATGACTAGTTTGGTCTACAGTGTTTGTTTATGCAAATTCTGAGTGCATTATGGCTTTTACCTGATACAAAGTAGCATCATCTCCCTTGTGTTCAATTATATATGACTAACGTTCATTGTCAAATGTGGAGGCCGTTTTAACAGCTAGCCCACTTTGCAGCTGTTGAACACTTTAATAATTTAGGTAAGAAGCATTGAGGCGCAGTGGGGTCTGCCACCATCTCCCATGTTTTTATTCCCCACCCCTTCCATTTACTGACCCGTCATGTGTTAATTTTACAACCATCCATTACCACATTAAAATCCTACACTTGTCTTCTTTTAATTACTTATTTGCAAGTTAGAAAAAATGAAATGTGAAGTCAAGTCTGTAGACAAATGTAGGGTCAACTGTGTTGTTTACCAAGATCAACTCGATTTTTACTGGTCTTGCTAAACAAGTAAAACCAGAACTACAAGAGCCATTTGAACAGTTTCTCTTTTGCCAAAACCCCACAAAGCATTTGACTGACTTGAAATGCATTTTAAAAAGCTTTACAATTATCAGCTTCAAGCGTTAAATACTTTTGAAACAGCGCAAAAACGCACATGAACATTGGTGGTTTCCAACCAAGATGTTGAATCAAGTAGAAAATTCTCAGACTTGACCTCAAGTTTATTTGGGCACTGTTACTCAATGCCAAGTTCTCCTTTCATACAACGATTTATTCTGGTATTAAACACAAATTAATAAGTTAACTAGATGAAAGTCAAAACTGTAAAAGCTCAAATACACCAAAAAGAACACACTAACGAGGACTAAGAAAACGCTTTATTTTAGAAGGTGTTCCAGACCAAAAAGGCTAGAAAACCCCGATTTGGATTCAGTACTTTTTTTTTTTTTTTTAAACAAATGCATCAAAGGTGTACACTGGTTAGTCAGCAGCACTGTGGTCCTGTATAATCAAAATTCCCTGGAAACCCAGTAACAGTTCACATTAAAATGCACATTAACACTGCCTTTGACCACACCGGGGGAATCCTCTGAAAACTGACTTCACCTGTGGGGGAAGAAGGCACAACCACTCTTTGGTCCCCACTGTCAGCGTGGAGAGACACACCCCCCCATCGTTTCGGGGGTTACCGTCCTCGTGCCCAGGTTACAGAAGCAACCTGGAGGAGATGAGAAAGAAAACAACAGGGTGAGATTCTGCACTGAGCAAAAGCTTCTCTGGAGGAGACTCCAATTTACTTGTTCCATCATTTCATTTAATTATGGAACAATACTTGGACCCCCTTCCAACCCCCATCAAAAAATAAAAATTAACCCACCCACCCCTCCCTTTTTTATTATTTTAAGATTAGCTATATAAGACGCTGATAAATTAAATAATGGCACACGTGTGCACCATCTCAAAGATATGCCATACAATGACCAACACAGAGTGAAGACAGGTTGATTTACATACCTAGTTTGCTGGATGTGGATATCCTAAAGAGATATTTCAGACTCCTATCACAATCGACCCCAGGTAATCAACAGGGTCCTGATGTAGCCTACAAACAAACTGCTACGGCTATTTTGGCTGGGATAGCCTACTGGAATAAGAGTAAGAACACCTAAATGTAGGAATAATCAAAGATAAATATCAGAGCCCTCATGTCCACATAAATAAATGTATTCAGAAGAAAAATAAAGAGTTATTAGCAATATCTAAAAACCACATAATTTTAAAACAACGTCACACCCTACAAAGCCTACATGCATTGGCTGTGGGTAGACTACAACCATTAACCGTTTCACCCACCTGAGTGTAAGGGAATAAACTGTGGGAATGATGCCATGTAACTAAAGAGCAACAAGGTGACGCCACTTATATACCTGTGGATGAACTTGAGGAAGCCTGGTTAAATAAGTAAAATAACTAAGCTAAGTGGTATAACGTTTTATTTAAAATGAACATACATGAGCATAGCAAATTGTTTTTTTAACAGTAGGTTTTGTTCTCCAGACATGAAAGTATACAATATACATTAGATATTGCTACAGGTAAAGGAAACATGAACAATATTTAGACTGAGACTGGCTGAGAGGTTTGGTACAATAAGGGAGAAGGAAACAGTGGTCCTGCGTCCCGTCCCGCCTTTGCTGAATGACCCAATAAGTAAATAATACATATGTCCGTTATCAATAATGACATAGCTATGAAAAACCATAAACATGCTTTCTCATCCTCATACATTGAAAAGTCACACTAAGTTTTCTGCAGAAAAAACAAAATCGAAAACGAACTGCTTTAAAATGCAAATATTAAAAATAAATCAGAACTTGTCAGCAAAACAATCCTACATCGAAAAAATCCAAAAACAACGAGTGAACGCAAATAAAAAATAAATTCAACTCTAGACGAGAACTAGACGCCGGAGGCGTGAGTACATAATAAAAAGCGATGTTATTCTTCGTCTTAATGTGTCCTAGTTGAACGGCAACAACCGCTTCTCGTTATAATCAGGTGTTCTGGGAAGTGACCTTCCTACCTGTTTGGGTTTGGAGGTCTTCGTAATGATTTGGGGGAGGGGGTCTTTGTGTCCGTATCTCTGCCATGGTTGGATTTCACGGCAGACGCCCCGTTACTGGCTTTGACTCTTGGCGTCCAATTCCGGGCTGAGGGGAGAGGGCAATTTGTGGGACAATAGTGGGGGTTGCTTTCCATCGTGCAGTCTCATTTAATAGCCGCCGCCGCCGTAGCCCCCCCTTGGGTAGCCGCCACCGCCGCCGCCGCCTCTGGTGTAGGGAGCTGCGCTCCTCTGGCCGCCGAAAGGTGGCCCTTTCATGGGGCCATAGCCAGAAGGATGCTGGCCATAGCCGCTGCCAAACTCATTGTAGCCGTTGCCACCGCCATAGCCACTTCCCTGATCTCCATAGCCACCCCCATATGGCCCGCTGCCGTACCCTCCGTAGCCGCCACAGTTGTAGCCTCCGCCATTACCGTAGTTGTAGTTTCCGCCATAATCCCTGCCGCCGTAGCCATTTTGATTTCCTCTCATACCTCTACCGCCTCTGCCTCTCGGTGTCATAGAGGTTCTGTTGGCTGCCTGCATCTCCTGTTTGGTCAGGGCTTTCTTTACTTCAACTTTGTGTCCTTTGACGGTGTGAAATTTCACGACAACCGCCTTATCGGCCGAGTCGTGATCGGTGAAGTACACAAAGCCGAAGCCCCTTTTCTTTCCGGTCTCCTTCTCTGAGATCACTTCGGACTTCTCGACCTGCCCGTACTGGGAGAAGTATTCGGTCAGATGCTGCTCTTCGATGTCGTCTTTCAGACCGCCAACGAAGATTTTCTTCACCTTAGCGAGGGCCTCGGGCTTGTTTGCGTCTTCTCTTGCCACGGCTCGCTTCACTTCGACCGCGTTGCCATCGACGGTGTGCGGCCTAGCCGCCATTGCCGCGTCGGCCTCCTCCGGCGTGGAGTAGGTTACAAAGCCGAAGCAGCGAGACCGCTGGAGCTGCTTGTTCACGACGACAACGCAGTCGGTGAGCGTGCCGTACTGCTCAAAATGCTTGCGTAGGCCATCGTCGTCGGTGTCCACGTTGAGCCCACCGACGAAAAGTTTACAAAGCTGGTCGGTCATTTTTGAAAAATGGCGAATCGATTGCACCCAAACACCCTCAACAATGCTCTGAGCTCAAGATGGAGGTGGGGGAGAACGCAGCTGTATTTATATCCTACGCGCTGTGACGACATGCTAGGCTGACTATTAGCACCGCCTTTTCCGGTCTACTGCTGTTTCTTTTGTAGAAAAAGAGACACGAAAAAGACTGAAGATACATGAATAATCCATGATTTAAAAACACTTAACTACAGTGAATAGTTTTGGCCATGCTACCCTTTTCTCACGTATTACTAAACCACATCGATCTCAAAAACTTTGACCTTAAAACATGGATGTGGAGAACCTTGTTATGTATTGCGTATCTCCTCCTAAAATGACAAATAACGTTATTCTCATTATTTTAAAGAGTGCGAGGCTATAACCCAATAAATCAGATGAAAAAAAAAAGACTTATTCATTCAGACTTATTCTCTTTTCCATCTCTCCGAAATATGGCATTGGAAGATTTGCTAATTAAATTACAATTTTTATATTTGGTTTTATCTACGGAAGAGGATTAGGGCCACTGGAAAAAGTGGGCACGTCTTTTTTCTTCTTCTTTTCCAGAATTCTGAGATTGAATTCTGACTTTTTTCTCAGAAATCTGGAAAAGAAGAAGAAAAAAAAGACGTGCTCACTTTTTTCCCCAGCAGTCCTAATCTTCTTCCGTATTTATCAAGGTAAGAAAGGCTGTAGAAACTGAATAGGCTCTCAACTAGTGTGTGAAATTGTAGCAGACATTATTTTTCACTAATTTACATGTTAAACAGCAAATGAGAAAAATACTGGATTAATCTGGAGAAGAAAACCTTGTCAGTGGCTGATGTGTTTTCTGCAGAAGTTGCAGGTTTCGGTTGTTAGATACAGCAATAACAGATAAGCTAATTATCCTGCCTATTTTTCTCCTTATCTTTCCTGCCACGATCTCCATGTAAGTGATCAAACACAAAGAAAAGGCCAATTCCCCTCCCTCGAATCCCGACGTCCTCGGGCTATGGCGATGTAGTTTCAGGTGAAAGACACGGCGCTTGATTTAATTATGTGCAGAGAATAACCACACCTACCAACAGCTTGTGGTGATGCAGATTTCAGAGCAGACAAGAGCAAAGCAGACAGCAAACAAAGAAACACCAAAATCAAAGTTTACTGAAACCTTTATGAGGCATATTGCTCATGAAACAATCCCCATTTCTACTCTACCAACACAAACACACACAGGACAGTCTGTGTCTGCACAGATACAGCTCCAAACTATAGATGGACACAAACGAGGTGGTTTGCTGATAAAACAACAGATGGAAGAAAGGACCGACCACAAAATTGATTATGTTAACCTGCATTTTTTGATTATTCTGGGTGTTCAGGCTTGATTTTCAGGTCCTTCTCCATAATATTTTATATCCCAGTCCTTCTATAGTACGTTTGAAAGCCATAAAGGTTGAACGTGACTCCTCTCCTCCTCCTGTCTTTGTAAGGAAAGACAAAGTCTTTACCTTCAGTAAAGGCATGTGAATGAATATTAAATGAAATGGTCTTTTAAAGCCTGTAATAATGGTGCTGCAAGCAGCTTCAACATAGAGTACAAGACTGGTAACGCATCGCCATTGTCCTTCTCTTTATTATCGAGGCTTCACTGGGAAAATAGTTATGAAATTCAGACTGTAGGCAACGTCCAGTTGACTAAAAATCACCCAGAATGTCTTTTTAAAGGCAAAATTTCAAACAAACTGAAATAAAGTGTCAACACCAAACCTGTCACACCAAAAATGGGAAGACTGTTTTTTGTGTTTTTCATTTGGAAGCTAAAAACATCAGAGATGGTTTTCTTGTCTGAAAATTTAGTACATTTCTTTACGGGAGCAAGTACCGCTTAATTTATATTACTGTCTGTGAAACTACGAGCTTCTCCAGGTATGAGAAATTATAGGCAAAAACCGCTCGACTTGAGGATATTGAAGTCTACATCAGGTTTTAAACACCCGAGAAAACACTCAAATTTACACAGCAATCTGTGCAGATGGCAAATATTTTGTTTTTTAAAATGACATTTCTCTAAAACTCCTGAATTTATAAATGAAGATCAAGTCCTACCTAATATTTACATTAAAACTGAAGCCTTTTGTAGCCCAAAACATCCTCCAGTTTCAATCGTGAGGGAGATAAATGTAATTAATCCAGTTAGGTAGTTTAAAGGAAGCATTTAAAAATATTCCCTAACAACCAACATAAACATGGCTATAAGACAAACGATGCAGACAGCATGCACCACAGGAGGAGATGTGACTAGGAAGCCATGTCTGTTCACAAAAAAGGCTCAAATCTTGTGTTAATGGTTAAAGCAGCGACTTAACACATTTCTGCCACATTATTATTTCAGTAACAAACAACATTTGTAAAAGGAAAAAAGTCAAAAGTAACCTCAACAGGATTTTATTTGTTGTAGTAAAATCAAACATCTATCTAGCAGTTTTTCCACTCTTCAGTCTTTTTCTCTACTCTCTAATCTTCAGTGTGAAGGCCTGTAAGATAATGACAATGCTGATAGTCCATGTGCTTGAATGGATCAGATTAAACAACTTCTAGCCACATCTAAAACAGAGTCTTAAAGGAGAGGAGCCCAGTTTGTCAGATAAAATGGAGGGGGTGGGGTGGGCACGGGGTCTGGATGGGCTAACTTGAGCTGATCATGTAGAGGAAGTGGATGGGATGGGTTGGGGTGGTGGAGTCTCCACCGACAAACCCGTTGTGGGTTTTGTCTGTGGGAGGAAGAAGGGCACTGGATCACAGCTCCACAGGTGGCTCTGAGCGGGCCGGGTCACAGGTGATGGGCGACGGGCCGTATCTGATGTGGTCGATACTCAGAAGCGTCATCCGAGCAATCACATGATGTACACTTTCTCCGCCTGAGAGAAGTTGAAGACTTCTTTGGTTCTGGGACACACCACTTTGTCATCTTGGCGAATGGACAGAAGAGACTGGAAGAGATAATAATGAAATATCAACGAGTGTTTTATGAAACTTTATCATCAAGTCTGCATTTTAAATTGCTTCAACATGGATGGAAGCATCTTTACACAGTCCCAGCTGGCATCGTGCAGTTTACTCACATTGTAGCCGTAAACATATCCATTAGGCAGCATCATGGGAGGGTTGTTTTCATTCATGACCTCTCCAGAGATTTTACAGACTAGTCTGGAATTGGCGCAGTGGGCCATGGGTAGAGGCTGAGCCAACTTGTTAAGAGATTTACTGCACACTGGGCAGTCTGGGTTTTTAGAGGTGCCATCCTCCTTGTAGCACTGACTGGTTTGGAAATGGGAGTTAAGGATTAATGCAGTTTAGGGAATAACACACAGAATAGACCCTCCTTAGAACAAAAAACACCATCCATCTTCATAGAGCTTAAGAAGTTGAAATGACAGGGTTAATAGGAACCACACACTGGAAGGATACGGTGTCTTGATGGCAGACAGACCAGCCTGCAGGGTGATGGTGAAGACAGAGTTGTTTCCCAGCTGATGCAGTCTGTAATTGTCATATCGGAACTGCTGGATCAGCATCTTCCAGCGGGCTGGATCCAACAGATCCTGATAGATCAGAAAGAAAAAGAGA